AAATAATTAAAAACAAATCCAGTAACAATGCATATAGTATAAATTCATATTTTAGAAATAATATTAAAAAAATTTTATCCTTTATTTCTATAAAAAAATGAAACTTTAATAGTATTTACATAAAATGTAAATAAAGTTGATCATTTTTGTGATTTTTAATTATTTGTCTTATAAAAATATGATTTATATGAAAAAAGTATGAAATACTGAAACACAGACTAAATTTTTTACAGAGAAAAAGAAAAAAATATAGAAATTAGATTTTACTTTAAAAAATTAAAATAAAAATTATAGTTCAATTCTTTTAATAAAAAAATTAAATGCTATCTTTTAATTTTAATCTTATTCATTAATAGTATTAGAGGCATCAATCTCAGTATTAGAGGTAATTGCAATCATTTCAGTAAGAATAAGGTTTGATTTTAGAACTTCTGAGAGGCGAATTCTGGTTGAATCTATTTGTGCTAATATTATTTAATCTCTCTTTGATCTAAGGTTGCACCTCGTGAAGTACAATTAGATTCCTTATAGCCATAATAGATTTAGACAACTTTTATTATTATTAACACTATTGTAGGATGAAAAATTTGACATTTACTACAAACGAGCAATGTATATTAATTCAAAATGATCTTCGAGATGCATATAAAAATGCAAAATCTTCAAGTTTTATAAGAGTAAATGAAAATTCTGATAATAGTTTATTAGGATCAAAAAGAAAAATCGCCTTTATCAAAGAAGTATTTTTGAATCAGAAGATACTATTAATAGCCAAATGATAGATTGACCGATATTTAGCAATTGCTCAGCAACCAAAAAGTATCAATGTTTTAAAGTGGTAGGATATACATAAAAAAGAATTTCCTATTTTATCTGAATTAGCACGAAAATATTTGACAGTACAGCCAAATCAGCTGCAAGTGAAAGGCTATTTAGTGATGCAGGAAATATTATGACTGCCAAACGCACCTCCATAAAGCATAATTTGTTTGAGTCTCTAATTTATCTAAAGAGAAATGGGCCGATTGTAGGTAGAATGTTTCATTAAGTAATAGATAATTGATTACATTTAGAATAGCCAATAGCCGATAGCTTTATTGCTTTAATCAATGCTTAATTAAATTATCGTAAAGGCGTAAACTTATCCAGTGAATATCCAATGAATATCCAAAATTTGTTATCCGGATTCTCATTCTTTGAACGATGGATGTCAATGGATAATCCGGATCTAAGCTCTATTAAGGGGATCTTTTCCGATTAGCCGATAAGTTAAGTTTGTTACCTTCCAAAAAAACTTTTTTCTGACTTAAAAAAGATATTATTAACAACCTTTTCATATTTTTTAGTTTAATATATGACAAATCTATTTCTGTAATATTTAGGATTGTATTATCCTTAAATTTCAAAATATTAGTTATAATCTATTTATCATATACTCAAGTACAACTTTTAGATGCATTTGACTTAGTATTTCGTATAAGACTTTGAATCAAATTTTTATTTAGCATATTATAGCCTCTAAAATTTTATTTAAACTGATCTCTGCAATGAAGCATTATAAATTAAGCATTATTATTAATTGATTCAGTTACCCTCGGTTTAATCCAAATTTTTAAAGATTTGAAATTTATTTAACAGATCAAAATAATTTCAAAGCTTTCGTCGTATCAGTTAATGAATCGCAAAAGTGGAACAGCACCTGATTTATTTATCTTGATTAAAATAAACTCCAAACTGTTAAACCTAATATTTCGAGGGAAATTTTAGACTTTCGTTATTCCTGATACTCATAGGTAGCATAAATTAAGTAAATTTATACTCTTTATAAAGTATACATTTAAGTTAATACCCCGAATGATATCTAAACAAAATACAGAATCGGAGAAGAAATCATTTATCATTAAATTCATTAAACATTTATGTACAATTTTCATTATCAATTGGCGAAATTTAATCAAAATAAAAATCTTCTATCAATTTATTATTAAAAAAATACAAATATTAGTACTCCAAAATTTATAACTGGGAACTTTTAACTATTTAAAGAAAACTCACTAATCGCGTAATGATATTGTACAGGAGTTTGGATTATTACACCTAATTCTTTAGCTGCCCTTATCGCCCAATTACCATCAGCCAAAAAACTTCTTGCTAAAAATACCAAATCAGCTTGGCCATTTTCCACAATACCGTTGGCAAGTTTAGGATCTTTTATTAAACCAACGGTAGCAACATTAATATCAACATTTTTCTTAATCACTTCAGCAAAAGGAACTTGGAAATGATCTTTAATAGCCAAACTTTGCTTAGGGATATTACCACCGGTAGAGACATCAATTAAGTCAACACCGAGAGCTTGAAATAATTTGGATAATTCAACGGATTGTTTGATTTCCCAACTATCTTCATCATCAACCCAATCTGTAGCAGAAATTCTAACAAATAAAGGTTTATCCTCTGACCAAATCTCCCGAACCTTTTTTGTAATTTCCAGCCCAAATCTAACCCGATTTTCAAATGAACCTCCATATTGGTCTGTTCGTTTATTTGAAATGGGAGAAAAAAATTCATGAGCAAGGTATCCATGAGCATAATGTAATTCTACTATATCAAATCCTGCCTTTTCGGCACGTTTAGCAGCCGCGACAAAATATTCTTGAATTTCGTGAATTTGTTCTATAGTCAACTCTTTTGGATTAGCATGTTCATCATCCCAAGGAATAGGTGAAGGTCCAATCACATCGTTTGGCCATCCACCAAATTCTTCAGGTAATAACTGAGAATATTTAACATTATTTCCAAGAGCCTTTACATTAATAAAAGGAGCTATCGTAGAAGCTTTTCTGCCACCATGAGCTAGTTGTATACCAATTTTAACACCTTGAGAGTGAACAAAATCTACGATCCTTTTCAATGGGGCAATTTGTTCGTCATTCCATAATCCCGAATCGTTTGGACTTAATCTGCCTTCAGGTGCCACGGCCGTAGCTTCTACCATGATTAATCCCGCACCTCTCAGGGCAAATTGACCTAGATGTACCAAATGCCAATCCGTCAAGGCACCATCTTGAGCGCTAAACGTGCACATTGGTGATACCGCTATTCTATTTGGTAAGGTTATACCACGAAGTTTTAACGGTGTAAATAATGATGGGATATTTGCAATGACGCCATTAGATTGGGTAGTTTTGACAAAAGTGCCTGGTGGTGGGTTTTGAATAGGTGTATAGAATGGGGCGTTTGGGGCTCCGATATTTTCACGTGTGATTTTATCGGTCATCTTTTTTTTTTCTTCTTTTTTTCTATTTACTTTTGATGTTGAGAGTGAATTGATTTTTTTTTTTTTGTTTCTTAATATTTCTTATCGAGAAAAAAACCATTCCCTTTTATAACTTTTTTTTTCATATCAATTGATTAGAAAAGAATTTTACCTAATAATTTTTCCGGACATTCATTACCATACTTAGTTTAGGCGTTTGAATTTGTCAGTCCGTCGCTTATAAATTTAAACGAAACCTCATATTTTTTTTAATGTGTATAGGATACCCAATAAGGGATTATCATTACAAAGATTTTCTTTTTCTTTCTGTTGTTCAATGTATTAATAATAAAAAGTGAAAATTGGTCTTTTCTTATTTAATTGGATTGGACCAAGTCTGAATAATCGAAATTTGTCAGTGGCTAATCTATCTATATGTTAAACATGGGGTAAAAAAATTATTTTTTTAAAATATAACGAGAGTTCTGGATGATCAGATTTAATTTCACTTAAGAACAATTTTTTGAAAAAATTTTTGATTTGATCCCTTTTCCCAGCACTCACCTCACGTGCCCAAACTCAAGTTTCATCGATAAACCTTTTTTTATATCATAAATCTTGCTAAAATGAGAATCCCCTTCAAATTAGCGCGATGTGTTGATTGTCTTCGACGACAATATCAAAAACGTCAAACAACAATATATGCAACAGCCAACGATAGCGTCCAAATATCCCTATAACGGACGGGACGTGCCTAATTGTCGGGGGAGTTTTCATATAGTGATAATGGGTAGGGATGATGGTCAGGGTGGGCGATTTCTTATTTTATCTTTTAGGTATTAGATATATTTTTTTTTTAATCAAATTCATATCGTTTCCTCATAATCTGCGGATATTCCTTAGGCTATCATTTTTTTTTTTAAAGAAAAATTTATCAAAGTGAAAAAAAAGGGGCAATAATAAAAATTATTTTTAATGTCAATTGTTAAGTTATCTTTCTTTTTATTGAGTGAAAAATCAATCTATAAAGAAATATTATTATTATTAACGATGATTAATTTTGAGAAGAAAATTTTTAAATCGAACGCAGTATTGATTTTATATATATAAACGCGAAATTTTTAAATTTGTTCTTCCTTGCATATCATACCATACATACGATACATACATATACATAATTTTCCTAATTATTCTTTTTTTTCCTTTGATAAAAGACCTTTGTGGAAAAAGAAAAAGAATTATATACAAAGAACTTTTAAAAAAGAAAAAAGTCCAGAGTAATCAAGATTTACCACAAAAAAAAAAAAAAAAAAAAAAAAAAAGTGGGGGAGGGAATCAAGAGCAACAATATCCGAAAAAAAAAAGACTTTTTGTTTATTTGAACTTAAAAAAAAAAAAAACAAAAAAAAAACAAAAAAAAAAGGAAAAAAAAAAAAAAAAAAAAATAGCATGCTTCTCATGCCAATCGCACAAACTTCTTTAGAAGAACTCATAAAAAACAATCACTTCTAGCCCATCATTAATATTTCATAACAGGAAACATGACATTCATCAATTACTAATTTGATGCGCAAAGAAATTCACATCTCCATTATAAGGGTAAAACACTTTTTTTTTTAGTTAAAGGAAGAAGTCATTTGTTTTCCCTTCAAATGATGGAAACCATCTCCCATCCACCTCCTATCCACGCTTCGTTGGATGGCATATGCGCGTATACCAACCAATCCATGCTCATAACTTTTTAACACTTCGTCGAATCTACTTTAGAATTCATGGTACTATGTGGAGAGGTATTGCAAAGACCATTACTAGAGAGAACGGTGACTTCAAATTTTCTACCACATTTACTGCTTAAAGTACTACATTGTCTACTTAAAGTACTATTAACAGAATTCACACTCGTACCAGGACTTGAAGCCATACTAAATAAACTACTTATGGTAGAAGAAGGAGAAGAGGCGGTTTCCGATGATGTCGAGGATGTCGAACTTGTAGAAGAGCTCGTTTTTGTTGTCCATTCAACCTCAAATTTTCTTCCACTATGAGAGTTTATTGTAGTATGAGGTTCATTCGAAGTGTTCTGCGAAGAAGAGAGCTTCGATGGAGTTGTAGGTGTTGACGAGGGAACTGCTGAAGTTGTTGGAGATGATGAAGGAGGAATTGATAATCTACGTTCTTGGGTCGCTTTCATATTTACCAACGAAGATTTTTTTGTTTTTATCATTAATGATGGTGCATTACTATTGACAGGAGAAGAACAATGTGGATAATAATAAGATCCATGGTGACTTGGAAGATTCGATTGTTTACCGCCAATAATAATGTTCGCATTGCGACTGTTTATTCTTGAAGTAGACTTATTGTAACACACATTTTCACCCTTGGAACGTTGATGTAAATGTACCAGATTTGGAGAAGAGGCGGATTGAGGTAAGACACCACGACAAGAAACGGAAGGAGAGGCGGCGGCGGCAGATGCGACTTTAGAAACGATAATAGGCATAGGCACTGGCCAAGCACCATTAATATTGTTATTGATATTAATGACACCATTGTTTTTTTGCATCGAAGGTAAGGAACGCCTTGATGAGGTGGAAGAAGGTGTAGGTTGACAATAGAAATAACGAGGAGATCTTGATGATGAGATTGAAGGGCAGGAATTACGATTATTCGAGTTAATTTGAATTTGCATCTGTTGCTGAGCGATCGCTGCGAACTGCTGTGCATCTTGGTGTGTTAAATAAGTAGACGAACGTAAAGGATTATTAACGCCAACACCCTTCAGTGAGTTATGACGCATCGGAATGGATATCGGGTGAGAAGAAGCATCATGAAATTGAAATTGGGGTAGCAATTCGGGTTCTAATATAGGATGAGTACCACCATTTAAAGAGAAACGACAAGGTTTTTGTTGACAATGACATTGATCAAAGTAAGTGGTGTCAAAATCTTCTCGCTCTCTCACAATAGTAAATCTACCAACTTTACCTAATACTTCAGTTTCTTTTGTGAAATGACGAGGAGTTTGAGCATATTTTTCAAACACTGAAGTAGAGAGTCTTTTTGAATCTACCCCCTCATCAGAATTGGTGGCAGAGGATGTTGATGAAAGGACATTAGATGGGGATGGGTTGGGATTTTGAGATTGATTTAATAAGGTCATATCATAAAAATCACGATGCTTCTCGGCAACAAGATTACTTGATTTCATTTGGATAGCATCCCCATCATCATCATCACCATCATCAACCTTTCCACCAATTTTATACTCTGCTCCATCGTTGATGTTATGATCCTTGTCATCCTCAGCGGTAACGTTGAGATCACCACCGCTGTTGTTGGTAACGTGGGTCGAATCCTTATTTTCACCGCCAACCTTATCAGGGTCAATGATTCTATTATCATCATCATCATTCCATCGTAACATAGAGTTATGTATACGAGCGAATATTGATTTATACCAAGAAGGTTTTCTAATAAAATTCTTTGAGGTGAGATTACTAGCATTACTAATACGACGATTACTTTTAAGTAGGGTAGAACCCTCCAAAGAACGAACTCTTCTTTCCAATGGAATAGCTTTAACATTATTATCCAATGAAGAAAAGCTCGTTGAATTATTGTCATTATCTACATTATCGTTGTGTGTGCCGTTACGATTAAGATTTTTATTTACATTATCTACATTATTATTTTGTTGTTCTATACGAAATGAAGTAATAGACTGAGAGGTCGTTGAACTTTTTAGGAAAGAGAAAGAAGCCGGCGAGAAGGTAAAGGGCATGATTAAAAAAGTTGGTATTTGTTGAGGTATTGTTCAAAGGTCTTGTGAAAATGTCTATTAAGAAGAAAGGTCTATAAGGGATCTTTTTTGGCTGACCAATAAACTTTCGTTCAACGAAAACTTTTTTTTTTTTTTGGTTATTAACAATATTAACTAAAAAAATAGTTTTACTTTTTTGCTGAGCTTCAAGACTTTCATATATATATATATACACAAAATATGACGTTTTTTTTTTATTATTATTATTATTATTAAACCACGTTATTCTTTGGAAAATAAACAACGGCGAGTTATTTTTTTTTTTTTTTTTGATATAAATAAAAAAAAAAATAATCAAGTGAAAATATTATTATTTATAAAAATTTTTTTCTACAAAAATACAGTAAATCCAGACTCCATTTTATTCTTCTAAAGAGAAAAATATTAATTAAAAGATAATCCTTCGTTTGAAGAAATAATTTTTTTTTTTTTTTCGTAAAAGAAGTTGTGTTGTCAAAAGGAGGAGGTATTTAAGTGAGAAAATGACATTAAAAAAAGGACGATAATATAATTTGTTTTTTTTTCAACGATATTTATTTAGTTGGGAAAACTAATTTTTTTATTGAAAAAATAAAAATTTTTTTTAATTTACAAAAAAAAATTTTATTTATAATTCTAATGATTTTTTATAGTAGTAAAATAGAGGGTAATCTGATTTTGAACTAGTTTGAATAAAATTTTTGAAAAAAAAAAAAAAAAATGAAAAAAATGAAAAGCCCTCTTATAAAAATTGTAGTTTTGTAACAGGTAGGACTGGACTAATCTAAAAAATCCAAATAATTTTAATTATATTTTACTCATCTTCGGGGTTTTCGGAATTTCGAATCAAATGTATCAAGTTATCTCTTTTTAAAAATAAATACAAAAGGTAAATAAAAAAAAATTTTTTTTTTTTTTATTTATTTATTTTCATTTTGTATCAAAATCAAACAATATATTTGTTGATCAAATTATTACAATACTAATTGTGACTTTCATACAGTTAATTTTTTATTAAGAACAAATTTCTTTATATGTTGATTACTGTATTGAAAATAATTGATGAAATGAAGAGAGGTTCAAAAAAAAAAAATTAAAAATTCACACAAATAAATAATTTAGGGTTTAGCTCAAGTAAAAAAAAAAAAAGTTCATAGCGATAAGCAATTTAGAAGAGTGGTAAAAACAAGTATTAAATACATGAGAATTGATTGAGGTCCCATCATCAATCCGATGCTATACTTGACCATCCGCATGGCTTATTTGATATTTACCATTCAAATCACATATAAATAAATAAAATGTATTTATACATTTTATGTGTGCTGCGTAATAGTTCCTGTACTCTGTGTTCTAATCTACTTATGATACATTTTTTTCTTATTCGGTTGTTTGTTAAGAATGAGAATCTCGTTTCAAAATAAAAAATGATATAATAATATGGGATTCAATCAATTAATTATGAATTTGGAAATTTTCATTCCATTCTCCTATCGCCTTCAATGATCACACATTCCTCCCTCTTGATTAATTCCTCCTTTATTCATGACCATAAACATGACACTCACGGTCCTTTTGCCACTCCATTTTAATTGGACTTTGCCTCATAAAAAGCCTCTCTTTGATTGACCAATCAACATCTATCTTATCCATCGTCCAGGTAGCTATCAAGTGATTACCAACGTATCGCAACCCGAAACGACCAAAACCATTACAAATACGAAACATAACACCCAAATCTACCTTTTTTTTCAATTCTTTATTCTTTTAATCGTCATGTCAATCGCAAAAGCTTGTGTTTTAAAGATTCACAATGATAAGATATATATTTGGGGCGTAAAATCATTATGATGATGATAGATTGGCTTCCGGACAATAAAAAAGACAAGTTTTATTAAGTAAAGATTTTTTATTTATGACAAGGAGAGATTAATCAATATAATCTTATCTTGCATAATCTTGATGGTTAATAAAATTAAAAGTAACATGTATATATATGTATATTATATATATGTATATTAAATCTAAGGAGACGATTAAAGAATTTATAAGGAAATGACTTAAGCTTTTTAAAGGAAAGTAGTTTTTTTAACATTAATTACAAAGTAAAGTAGAAAACGTTTTACTCTTTTGCGTTCATACCTTTTCACGTGAGGATGCGTAACCTTATAAATATTTATTTGATATTGATATTTTGATAAAAGGGGGAAAGAGGAAACAAAAAAAAAAAAAGGAACCACCCATTTTTTACCATTTTGTATTATTTGTTGTGATCACATTTGGTTAAAGTACCTTTTTCTTGTGCGTGAAACCTTTTGGTTATTTGTTGCAAATCCCTGGTACTTTGTACCGGACCAATAATGGTAATTGTTGAACTTCTCATCCGAATATATACGGCTGTCAAATAAATTTTCAATTTCCCATTTTGAGTCACATGTCTCCCCCCTTTTATTAAAAATAAATCGACACAATGTTTAAATTCCGTGTATCTACAAAAAAAACACAATTAGGTATGATGAATAATCTTTAGAAATGAATATTTTTATTGTGGAAATTAAATAAATATATGCAGTGTAAAGGGTGAAGGGTGTCATAAAGAGAATTGACCACTTTTTTCTTTTTTTTTTTCTTTATAAGCAAATAGAACTAATAGAAAATAAGGATAGTGCGTGGAAATCCTTGCTCCTACCAAAAATAGCATCAAAGTAACTCTGAAAGAAAACTAGTGGTTATGTTTACAACAAAAAAAAAAAAGCCTGAAAACATGGGAGATTCCAGGACCAAGCTAACACAAAAATTTATATTTATTCAACGAAATCCCTCGACCATAAAGAAACCAATCTAACACTTAACAGCAATCATTCGGTCATTGGCTAAATGAATCCCAGCCCAATTTTTAGGACCCACATAAATATTAATAAATGAGTTTTATCTTTCCTTTTTTAAACGATGTTGCGATTCGGGTTCTCTTAAATTTTTTAGTAAAAAAAAAAAAAGTCCAAGGAGCAATTTCGTTCTTTTGAAAAATAATTTGAACTAAAATGTTGTCATCGCAAAATAAATCCATTCAAAAAGGGAATAATAATGAGCGTTTTGATTTTTGCTTTATTTAGATTTACCGTCTAAAAAAAAAACGGATGTAATTTAACTAGCCTAAATAATTGAATAGTTGAATGTACTGTATGTATGAATGAATGCAATGTAGATCTCTCAAAATAAAATGACAGAAGCAAATATTACACATCCTTTTGATTTTTTATTTTATTTTATTTTTTTTTTGAAAAAAAAAAAAAATCACAGGACTTTAACTCGTATTTTTACTGAAATCCTTTTTTTTTTTTTTTAAAGAATGAACTAATGTAAGGGTCCGTTTTATTTACTAGAAAGATAATGCCCGTTTATGTTAATTTATTCGGGGATAATGGCGCTTAAGTAATCCAGAAAATCATTTAATTTGTTAGCATTCTCATGATGACGAAAGATTTTCTAATTTCTCATGATAAGAAAACAACAAGCATGTGTCTGAAATGCTAATTTTCCCACAAAGGCAGCGCTTCTACTTGTATGTATGTGCGTCACAAGTGAGGCAGTTCGATAAAATGTTCTCTTACAGATTTATTCTTTTCTTGAATCCATTCAGTACCCTTTTTTAATTTAGCTTTTTTTTTTATCGGTTACATGAAAATGCACTTATGCAAATGATCACATTGGACAGGTATAATCGTGTTACTATTATCTATATTTTTCAAACACAAACTTAAAAAAAAATTTTTTTTTTTTTTAAACAATGTTCAGCTTATGAATGTAAACTCTATAAGTAGTGGAAGATCTTTCATTGTGCTTTACTTATAATGATGGATTAAAAAAGTATTCTTTCTTCCTCTTCCTTGCATTTTTATTGGATAAAATGATGAAGGGGAACGTTTTGAGATTTTCGAATACCCGAGGGAATTCTCACGTTCATAAATACTGCGGTATTTTCAAATTTTAAAGTTCTTTTTTTCAAATAAAAAAAAAAATTTTTTTTGGGGGGTGTTTATATTCCTGACAAAAGATTTAAGATTGAATCAATGATAATGATTATAGATAATGCATTATATAATTGTTGTGAATATTCAAAAAAATGAAACTTTAAATCACAAGTTATATGAGGATAAAAACGGGTACATGAGGGGTTTTTGTTATCACTATCTATCTTGAACACGATGACATAATAAATGACGATTTTAAATGTGACCCAAGCAAATGTTGAATTGTGTGAAAAATTTATTAGTTTATCGGTTGTAAACAGGAAACGTTATATTAAATCATCTTTTAATCGTCATCCAACTGATAACGAAAAAAAAAAAAGCCAAATTACTCTTAAAATACTAGATTAAATTTTCACAAAAATCATCCATACTCTTTCTGTCATTCAATCAAAGAATAAAACATACCAAAAGGAATTCGTATCAATAAATTGTTGGAAAAACTATATAAATTTTCTTATGATTTCTTATCATTATAATGAAAGTTTACGGTTTGAGTTCGCATCACGTAACACGAGTTGATTATTCCTTCATTTTCTCTTGAACAAAGAAAATAAAAAATGTTGACTCTTAAATATTGCATTAATTCACAAGCAATTTTGAGGTGAAAAAAAAAATATTAAGAAATATATGAAAACTTATCATGTGGTACAACAATGGTACATCAATTTCTCAGAATCAAATTTTATTGACTCATCAAATGCAGGATTTATTTAAATTCTTTTGATATTGTAAAATATTCTTACATGCATTCTAAAAGGGTTTTCTGGTAAAAGAAGGTGGGCTCTTTATTGAACGAATTTTTATTGTTATGCCTTTACCCGCCCTCATCCGCTTTTAACCGAGACGCCCAAACCAATTGATCTATTTAAATTGGGGTTTATTTTGTCTTCCTTTTAAATTCATTATAATGCTGGCCTAGGTATTGCGTTAATGCCGACGATAGATATTATTTGATTTGACCGATTAATTTGGATTATGCTCACAAATCGAAAAGATGGCGCTCTGGCCTTTTTTATTTTATTTTAATTTTTTTTTTTTTTTTTTGATAAGAAAAAATTCTAACGGAAGGGTTCATACCAATCAACTTGATTTCAACGTGAATTAACAATTTTAAAGAGATAAAAACGATAAAAAAAAAAAAAAAAATTTTGTACCATACTTTAATTCACGCGTGACAGGCATTATCATTAAAGATTGCCCTTTAATAGGAGTTGTATGTTCAGAATGAGAATGATCAATCATCATTGATCATCACACCAAATACGTTGTGTATATACATACATACAGGTATGTATGTACACTATATTCGAAAAAAAGAGATGATGGTGAAGTATCAATTACTGTATGTATATACGCGAATTTCGATAATACGATTCGTATTTTATTAAACAACCGCAATGTAAAAAGTGTGTATTGTTTGTAATTTTAATTAATATACTTACAAGATATATTTAAAAATATTTTTTACTTTTTTTTCCTGAATCAAAACTTAATCGTTATCAAGCTTATCTAACTTTTTTTTTTACTCAGAGACTTCGATCCAAAAACAAAAATATCCAAATCTTTTTTTATTTGGCGTCATAAACAAAAACGCGTATGATGATTATTTTTTTCTTTATTATTTTTTATTTTTACTTTTAAAAAAAAAGAAAAAAAAAAATTAGATTCTACATATTTCATTATCAATCTATTTTGAACATTTAAGCATAAATTAAGCATAAATAACTTCTCCGCCAAACGGCTTTGATAAAAATTTCCTTATATGGACCATTTCTTTACAGAAATGAAGCATAAAGATATATAAATCATGTCACCTTTTTCACCTATTACGAGCTCTCATAAAATGATATGTTTGTTGTACCAAATTTTCCGCCAAAACCGCCAAAAACGAAGATTGATTGGTACGACATCAAATCATTTTAAATTAATTATCATGGTTGTTTGCTCGTTTATGTGCATAATTATAACAACTTTACAAATTACAAACTTGTGCAAATCTATTTTTCGTAAATCGAACTCATGACCCCAACATCACAAAGCATGTTGAATGTACATGTTATGAAAAAATAAATAGATTTTAGCCAACAAAGAATTTTTGTTTCTAAATGTTGTTATCTTTTTTATCTTTTTATCTATTATTGAATGAATGAATGAATGAATGTTTATTATTAGAATGGATTATTATGATGTTTTTTTGGTGAAAGGTGTTCCGAAATTAGTGCAAGTTGCGTTAGTGGTGATGGTGCAATTAAGGCAATGCAGTTCGAAAATTATTATCGTTTCAAAGTAATTTTTTTTTTTCTTTTTTATTTTGTGGTGGTGTTATGAGATATTTTAAGAATTTCATGATACCATTAAGGAGAAAGGATTACATGTGGTTAATCAAAAGGGTGTCATAAAGAAATCCAGCTAAATTTGATTTACTCATTCAGTCACCCATAATAATTACTATATGAGGATTTACCTTTTTTATAATAGATATCGGAAAAATGATTACGATATGAAATGTTACCATATTTAGGAATTGCCTTCCTTGTTATTATCTAGTCAGCGCAAATTCGGAATTTTCTCTCGATTGTGAAAGGTTTGGTGTATCGTTTGATCCGGATTTTCGATGATTAATCATTTGTTCTTTTTTTTGTTTTCGCGTAGTATGTATTTCATGTGACTCGGATCAGAAGATGACTGCGGTGAATCATCCCACGTTTTGGATCATCTTCAAATCTTTTGTGAAGATAAATATTTTTATTTGATCCGAATAACTTTTCAATTAACAATCTGGTTATCATTTTTCGTCAAGTTATTCGGCTCAGGTTTTGTTGTTTAGCTTTGCCTTTAGACAATATAGATAGATGTAGGGAATAATTGGGGTTTGCAGAAGAAGAAATCGATGGTGTGAATAGAATCTTTTTGGTGAGAATGTTGGTAGGTTTTGGTATCGTCAATGTTCATTTTCTGCAGGAACAAGAGTAGAAACAGTAAGAGTTTGTTTTTCGATAGTGTTGAGTACGTTGGTAGAAGAAGAAGACATATCGGTTGGAGAAGAAATAACTATTCAAAAATCCTGAACCGTATAATAATGCTACCAATAACAAATATTTCAAAAGAGCTTGTTATTCAAACTTCCAACCTTCCTGACAATCTGTTTGTAAAAAACCAAAACTTTCAGCTTCTCTTTGAGAGAGAGTCAAAAGATCGACTCTGCACTATATAAAATTGGTTAGAATAATTTTTAATATATCTCAAAGTCAATGCTCAAAATTTATTGTGGAATTTTTAAAATAAATATGATCGATTCTTGCATTCATAATTAACAGCCCTTAAAATTCAACAAGTGGTTGCATTACTTTTGCCCTACACTATATATATTCTATTCTAATTCATACTATTCATAGTATTCATAGTATACGATCATTCTTGATTCAAAATTTTATAATATGTATCATGATTTTTTTGTAATATATTTTATTTAGAAAGAAATTATTGATATATTTAAATTATTATAATGATTAATTAATCCTTTTCTAAATTAATCGCTTTACCAAATTTACCATACAAATGAGCTTTTAATTGACGCATTTGACCATTCATATCATCCATATTATGCTGGAGTTGTTCTAATTCTTGTGTTAAGATTTCTTGATCCTTTTCTATACGTTCTATTGCTTGTTCCACCGGAAGGTTAATAAATGATTCTCCTATTTTATATCTATTTTACAATAAATCAATATCGTCATTATGTGAATTTTTTTTTTTTTTAGAAAAAAAAAGTGATTTTGATATTTTAAATACTAACTTGACAGGTTCACCTACTTCCACCAATTCAAGTTCACTAGTTAGATCATCAAGAAATTCTTTTTCTTGCTAATTGATTTAATTCAACAAGAGAGAGAGAGAGAAAGAGAGAATATTAATAGTTGCCATAATAATAAAGAGTCAACAAACGAGTCTAATAACCTTTTTTGCATTATAAGTTTCTTCAAGATCAGAATATTTCGCATTCAATTTACTAAAAGAATTTATCTTTTGTTGATCTTCCCATGTTACTTCTGCGTCAACTTCTTCCTCTTGATTAAGCTAATTTTTTTTTTAAAAAAAAAAAAGAGATCTCAATTAGATATCAACGCGTCTTTCTTAATAACTTCAAAATTAATTAAAGGTAACCGTAACGAACTTTCGTTTTTCATTAAATATGGATCAAATAATTACCATTCTCATTGTGACAACGTTTTGAAGTGAGAACAATAATTTAATTATTTATATCGAAAAAAAATATATATTCGGTGATACGGGCCATTAGATAATCAACGAATGAGTTATTAACACGTCATCTGATTCCAAATTAAGCATTAAGTTAAGTATTAGTTTAGCGATTTTTGGCAAATCGAGATTTTTTCCGTTTCCCTTTCATTCACTTTTTACGTTCAAAAGCGAAAGAAAAAAAATGAATGGACAGCCGCCACAGCAACGTCAACCACAAAATGAATTGGTAGCCTTTTATAAAGAAATACCAATATGTACAAGATTTTTATTTACAAGTTATCTTGTGATAACAGTATTGGGTAATATAGGTCCAATTAGCCCATATTATTTCTTTTTTCTTCCTGAATACACCTTTGGTCATTTCCAGGTATGTATCTTTCCTCTTCAATATCAAAGCTTCTTCATGTTTATTAGATAATGATTGTGATCCAATTCAAATAGATATGGAGACTTTTCACGTCATTTTTCTTTTACTCTTTTAATTTCAATGGAGCAATTCAATTATACTTTTTATATCGATACTCTAAAGAGGTAGAAACCGAAAAGTTTCTGGGGATCACTGCGGATTATGTTTTCTTCCTTTTATTTGAAGCTTTGACAATACTCGTATCCTTTTTTTTTTTTTTAACTTGAAGTCGCGTATCTTTGTCCCTACTCTTGCCCGAACTCCTTTTTTTTTTGTTTAATAAACTGTTTCGGTTCACACTTTAGGGATAGAATGAAATAAAGGATATAATTCGGTGATCTTTTTTTCGTTAAAATCGTTGTATTGAAAAAAAAGATTCGAAATATATCAAACATTATTCTTAACTCTTAATTATTATTTGGTAGATAATAGGAGGAATGATTAAGGGATTGGTATTATTCAATCAAAGTTTGGTAATGGCAATTATATATATATGGGCTCAATTATTCAAGGACGCTATAGTAACTTTTATGTTTGGTCTAAGATTCAAGGTAAACCTAACGGGAATTTTTTAATTATTAAAATTTATAATTTGTAACTTTATGCTTTTAACAGTAATCTTTTTTGATTTCAATTTTCCTGATATCTAGGGAGTATATTTACCGTTTGTGTTATTGGCATTTGAAGCATTACAAATGGGTGGGGGCTTGCCGTGGGCATCAATAATAGGAATCATCACAGGTCATATATATTATTATCTAAAAGAAATATATCCTGCGAGTGGTGGTACAAGATTTCTAAACACCCCACAATGGTTATATAATTGGTTTCCTGTCAATCGTGCTGGATTACGAACCTCATTTGGTGTTGTCCTAAATCCCGGCGGGAGAGCTCAACAACAAAGTTCAACTGACGGAACAAGACATAGTTGGGGTAGAGGTCAGAGATTAGGATCATAAATTATAATTCAATGATTCTCTTATCGTTAGGATTGATGTTGATTGATATGTTTAAAAAAATATATATTTTTTTTTTTTTTTTTTTTTTTTTTTTTAAAAAAAAAGAGATGTTTTTATTCATGGTCCCACTTAAAAAAAAAAAAAATTAAATAAATAAAACCAATCTTTCGTTCTACACACAATTATAATGAATTGTTCTTAAAAAATTTCTCATCACAGTTTCAAGTCAATTTTGTATTAATGCGATCATCATCTTCAAAACATCTAATGCCAACATTTTCATTCCACACGATAGATCCACCACGTTTGCTTGAAGGAAGTACGAGATTATTCCAAAATATTTTGGCAATAAATTCGTGCGATTTTAAACTATATATATATATATATTTATTTAAGGAACAAATTATTATGATATAAGCAACAATACAAAATAGGAAACATGATGATATCAATATACCTGGGATGAAAACAATCTAGACTACTCAAACCATCAACAGGAAAAGTTAACAAATCTAAATCAAATGGTTGATACATTACGGCAAAGGAATCACTGTGCTTTGAAGCGTAATAATTTACAACATTTTGAATCGCTTTATTATATTCCATTGCGGTTTCATCCATTTTCTTTCTGTTAAGATCCCCCAAAGCCCCTGCAGAGAAAAGTCTTCTTTAGAAAAAAAAAAAAAATCTTTATAAAAGATCGCATTCTTAAAAAGAAAATTACCTGGCAGATATGCGCAAGAGCATTCATAATCCCCGATAACGCGTCGCAATTTACAATATTTTTCACCACGCGTTAATTCATAAACCTGAGAAACATTAAATACACCCAAAAGATTTACAACTGTATTCGGTATCTTTTCTCGAATTGTTTCCAACGTGGTTAAAAGATAATATTCAAATTTTTCTATTGATAACCATGGCAAATTATTTGAACATCTTAAACAAATATCGTTTGATCCAATAAACAAATTGAGATATTTATATGATTTTAATACATCTTTTATCGGTTCTTTATAAAGTTGATCTAATAAATAAATTAGTTCCATTGTAAGATTTGACACCATCATCCCTGATTGCGCCGCATTCAGTCTGTCCTGATCAGGTTTATACTGGTAAGGTGGACAAATCACACCTATATAATAAAAGGAACGTTTTAACCTTTTTTCAAAGTCGCGATGAATTGAAAAAAAAAAAAATTTTTAATGAATATAACGTTGGATCAATAATTACCGTAGCAAAGTTCAAATAAATGATCTCCGACGGAAGGTCCTTTCAACAAAGGGGAGTAATGTTTTATAAAATTGGCGATAGTAACAGCACCAGGATCACCTCCCATAACGAAACTTACTCCACGATTTTCATAAAGTTTATGAAAATCAATTGGTATATTAGTATCTTGTCCTTTTGCCCCGAGAGCTGCCGTAATACTATCACCCAATGCCATTATGATTTCAATATCGTCAACGCGTAAATCATGAACACTCTTTGGTGGAACTTTTCGGGGAGTTAATTTGGGACATTGTGTTATATTTGTCACTAGCTGTGAGGGTAGTAACTTGTTTCCGTTGTCAATGTTGAAGTGTACTTGTGTGCTTGGGATTACGGAACCTATATTAGAGAAAAAAACGAAAGCGAGTAAAAAGATTGTATTGATCATGATTTATGTTTAAACTGTCAAAAAGATCAAGGTCACAGTACAAGTAAGTTACTTTTGAAAACGGAAAAATCTTTTGTTTAAGCAGATTGATTTATTTAATTGATTAGATCATGAGGTCACGCGCAATTTTTGCCACAAAATTCATTTTGTTTTCTCATGCACTTTTCTTTTGATCAACCATATTTGATGATCGAATTTTTTGATTTTTCCTTCTTTTACTAATAACATAATTGGGGTGATTATATTTGGGGGAGCTTAAATTTGGAGGTGCTTAATTTTAGTTTGTGCGGAAGTTGCTTAAAATTCGATTATGATGGCTTGCTGTCCTATTAATAAACATCACATCGAGTGAATTTTCAAATGCTGATTTTGATGTTATAATAATGATTAGGGAAAAATGGATCATACAATTGTTAAAGGAATAATTATGGCAATTATACTTTTGGATTTAAAAGCTTTTCCAAATATTCACCAGTTACAAAATACTGCTCATTTACCTGCATTTGAAGAAGGTAAATATTTGATAATTTTATTTCAGTAAGTTTTCATAACGCTGAAATTTTCTTGATTGTTTTTTCCACCTTTAATAAATATCAAGTAATCTTCAAATATATTCTAGTACAACATGAATTCTAATGTCAAGAAGAAACGCCTTAAAAAACTTCTAAACATAAAAAAAAATGCTAAATATTCAGGACACAAAAGAAGAGATTGAAAACCGGTTATAACAATTCGGTTTTAAAACTGGTTGCTATATAAAACCGGTTTGAAGATCCGGTTTTCGGTTTACCAAAAATAGTTTCTCGAACGAGACTTCCCATATATTCAGTCTTTCTTTTTGCACTCTTTTTGTGCATGTTTTATTTATCATTATGGCGAACCAACTACTTCTTCAGATACAGAAACTCTTACATATCTTACAACTATTGATACCACAGGCACAGTAAGTCTTACAAAATAACGAAGAATAGAATTAGTTCATCCTTAATTAAACTAGCCGCAGTCATACAGCATTTTTCTTTCGGCAAAATTTGTGAAACTAATTTTGCAAGGACAATAAATTTGTATTTGAAACAAAGAAAATTGGATTAAATGATGAACCATTAAAATGGTGGGCAGTTAATAAGGATAATTTTCCGTTTTTGGCACAAATTTCACGAAAGTATCAATTCCTGCAACATCAGATTCTATTCTCAGACGTAGGTAATCACAAACCTGCTAAGCGGTACTTTAAACCGGTTTTGATTCGGGCAACCGATTTAAACTGGATCATATTTAAAACCAGTTTTTGGAAATAAAACCGGTTCCAACCTCAAGCGTCAAGAACCGGTTAGGATTCATGCAGATTTCATTCGGACTGGAATCAATGATAAAAAAAGGAGTGAATTTCACCTGATAGTCTTTTATTTGACCAGTATACCAAAAATAATGCATTAGTTCATTATTGGGATACTTCTAGCAATACGAGGCTAATGACTGCATTATTAGATCCATGTTATAAGAAATTAGATTTTTTAAAGCTAGATGATGAGAAAAATGAAATAATCCAAAAGCTTCATGGTGAATTTAATAAATTGAAAACTAATAATTTAAATAAATCAATACAAGTTACAGAGTCATCCAATTCAATAACACTCTTTTTCAGATTTAGAATCTTCATTATGTTCACAAAAATAATATAATCAACTTTATCAAAAAAAATCAATAAAAAGATGTATATACCTACAAATGTTGATGAAACCAGTAATTATTTGTTCATTAGAAATTGAGTTTATATACAAATTATTAGAATCCAAACTTGTTTTTCTATTCTACCTTTAATTTTAACAAGCAGATGATTATTTATGCAATTAACTTTTAAAAAATTGTGCACACTAAAAAGTCATGTACACATGTGTACATTAATTTTATATACTGCTAACTTTCCTATTATAATACAAAATAGGAAAATAGGTGGTGAGGTGTCATAAACCCCATGACTAAATTTTTTTTTCCTTTCAAAAAAAAATGACAGAAGTCACAACTTATTTTGATACACCTTCTGATAAATGGGGGCTTTCTCAATTACTACAATCACCACTGTAATAAAAGCAACTTCACCTTTTTTTTCAGAAGTAAAGTATTAAACTTAATCCTTCTTGTAGTATTAAGTTGACCTCTTGCTGATAAATATATAAATAACAATTGTTTTTACAATAAGATTAGCAAGAGTGTCAAGACAGACCACAAGAAGGATCAAGTTCAATACATTTGCCTTTTAGAAAGAATCATTTTAACTCAAGAAAATCTTGAATCTCTCAAACAAATAACAAAGGCTAAACAATTATTAGAAATATTTAAGATTTAAAATTTATCTTTTTTTTAAAGCAGTATGAGGTTTTTTGCCAAGTTGTTTGTGACTTCTACGACTATGAGAACGTTCTACGTGCTACTTCCTCTAATGTTCTACGTGAATGTTGTAGTGTGTGGAAACCTCAGAAGTCACATATAACTCTCACAACTATGAGAACATTCTACGCGCTGTTTCTTTAATATTCTACGTGAATGTTATAGTCTGAACTAAATATTCTTTCAAACATCATCTAAATTTCTTAATGTTTTCATTTTCTTTTAGTAAGAATCATCGACAGCGTAATGAAGAAGTCAATAAGTTCTAAAATAAGATCGAGCTTATGTATCTAGAATATAAGAGAACTTTGCATACAGTAAGTATATTTTTTTCTGCTGTATAACTTTTCAGGTTTTACTAAATAGTTTTCTTTAAATATAAGTAGTAAGATACAAGATATGATAGAGAATATGGCTGAGAAGACTGTGAAAGTTCATTTAGAGATAACAAAAAAGGTTAGTTCAGTTAAGACTTAAAGAAAGAAAAGAAATATATTATATTGAAAGTTTAGAGGAAGATCATTTATCAGATTTAGAATATATAGAAAACTCTAAGAGAGTAAGTAATTTGATATTTCTTTTTTTACTTTTTTTTCACGTATACTCATAAATATTTTTAATTAGTTCAGAATCTATCAAGAAATAAAAACTAAAATCAAAATGATCACATAGAAAATAAACTATGATAGTATAAATAAAGATTTTATCATTCTATCAATAGAGACTTCAAAGGCATCAAATCTAGAAGATACTACTTTATATGAAATTACTTCAACAATTATCAACATCATTAGAAACTTTAGAAAATATTGATACTTCACGTGAAAATACACTATGCTTATTATCCAATCAACCCAATAGACATTATTATCTACTTCAAGAAATACGTCATGTTCATTTATCCAATCGACTTAACAAGACTCAATTTTTATACCAAAAAAACTATTATAACAAAAATTATATATAATAGATATTTGCTATATCTAATTTGCGTATTTAACTTGACAATAAATTGCATCAAAGAAACTGTTGAAGAGGATGTCTACATAAAAATAAAAATCTATTACAAGCAAAAAACTGACTTATTTTACAGGAAACTTAGTTAAGAAGCTGGATGCGATATTTGAAGCAGATTACACAGAGATCGAATCAAAAATCATTTCAGAAATAATTATCAATGGTGATAATCAAACAGAAAAAGCAAGGCTCAACTTTTTCATAAAGGACGCACTTCTAGATTTTATTGCTAGCTTCAGAATGCTGAGAGTTTTAGACCATAAAATATCTGAAAGAACCTATATTGTAGAATTCTTTTCACCTATATTCTGTGCATTTTAGCATTCTCAGATATTAAATACAGTTAGATCGAGAAAAATGTTACCTCAATAAAAGAGGCAAACAATATATTTGCAGAAGATATCAATCCAAGAAAGACAGATCTACTTGTCATATGTTTGTCAGCTGTCTGGAAATTCTGAACACTGAAATTTTAGGATCTCCCTTTAAAGTCACATGAGAATATATAGTCAGAGATATGAAAAAGTTATTAATGATATTTGTATATCAATATTGGGAAATTAGACAATTTTAGACAGGTTATAGACACGTTTTTTCATATCTAAAATTTTGTCCAAAATATTTAAAATCAAAAAATGTGTCTAAAATCCAATACTGCTACTGGGGGGGGGGGAACAAAAATATTGCACGGCTTAAAAATAAAAATTTAAATAAATTTTTATAAGTTACTAGCCATGTAATTTTTATACCGAATAGGTTAGCAGTTGCTTTAAAGGGATATTTGTTTATTGTTTTGATTAAATGTGTAGCATTTAA